TCAGGGAATAGTCCGAGAAGGGCAATAGCAGGGTCAAATGGTGGTTCCATTCCCAGCTTTCCCAGGAATCTCCAAACTGCTTTCCAAATTGGCCGCACCAATTTGCAGTCCCACCAGCAATGTACAAGAGTACCCTTTTCTCCACATCCAAGAGACAGCTCTTTATGTTCAGAAAACCAAAACTGGATTCCTACCTAACAGCCCATGCAGAGGTGGCCCCTAGATGGTTCGCTGTAGAGGGGAAGATCAAAAGACAAAATTAAGCTGGGCATGGTGGCGTACGCCTGTAATCCCAGAAGCTGGGGAGACTGAGGCAGGAGGATCATGTGTTCAAAGCCAGCCTCAGCAATGGTGAGGCACTAAGCAACTCAGTCTCTAAACAAAAAATACAAAATAGKACTGGGGATGTGGCTCAGTGGTAAAGTGCCCATGAGTTCAATCCCCAGTACCAAAGGAAAAAAAAAAAAAGACAAAATTAACAAAAGACAGTGCAGGAGGGTACTGTTGCAGTGGGGCAGGAATAAAAGACTTAAAAGTTTCAAAAGCATAACACGTTAGCACCGACCCCCCCCTTTCTGCAGAAAAAAAAAKTTTTAAAGAAAACTTGATGAATTTGATCATGCTAAAATGAAGAGTTTTGTTTAATGAAAACACACCGTGGGCAAAMTTAAGAGGCACTTAACAGAACAAAGAAGGTGTTTGTGATGTCTAAAGCCAATAGGACGTGAATATCTAGAATAAATGAAGACCTTGTGCAAGTCAACAGAAAGTCGGCAAARACCCCAAAGAAAATGGCCTGAGGATCTGAACAGGCAGTTTCCAAAAGACAAAAATTAATCCAATAAACACAGGAAGAGATGATCCAAGTCCTTAGTAATGAAAAATGGGGCAGAAGGGGTCTACCAGCTGGATGTGGGGTGTAGGTGGGTCCTTGGGGAACCATCTGGTTCTACTTATGCAAATCAGGGTTCCATACCTGGGGTGCACCAGGGGCTCCCCTCCCAGCCACCCTGCAGACACTGGCAGAAGTGAGAGTGGAATGGTGGGTAAAAATGCATAAATGGATACATGCAGATAAGAGAGAGACCTGCCTAGACCAGCCACATAATGGACTAGGAACTGAGGAGCATGGTAACACCCCCCATCTACACACGCCCCCCCCCYAGAGCTTGCAGGCCGGCAGGGGGGCCCAGGACCGCTGTGGGAGAAGACAGGAGCCCACAAGTTTCAGTGACTCATGGGAATGGGTCTTAGGGCACAGGGACAGGGTAGAAAATGCTCCTGCACATCCCAGTGCAAACAAGGAAACTGACTTGGGCTAATCTCAGTGACCAGAGTACTAGAGGTGAGAAGGGGGCAGTGACTTGGGCTAGGGGAGTGGCAGGTGAGGGGTGGGGGGAAGGTGGGAGGGGTGAGACCAATCATGGGCACCCACGCCTCCTGCTTTTATGGCCCAGATCCCGGCTTCAGCCTGTAGGAGAAAGGCCAGGGCGGGGGGGGGGGGGGGGGGGGGGGGGGGGGGGGGGGGGGGGGGGGGGGGGGGGGGGGGGGGGGTTGGCTGCAGGAGTAAGCAGTCCCAGCCAGAGGACCCGCGGGAGGTCCCCCTGCCCCTGGCAGCTCTGGATAGCCCAGTGGAGACTCCTTTGTGCTGTGTGAGAGAGACAGAGAGAGAGAAAGAGAGAGAATATGAGTGTGAATGGCTCTTTGTGTGCATGGGTGTGTGTGCATGAGCATGTGACAGCAAGCTGTGAACTAGTGTGTGTCTACTGGCTGGCGTTCCCCCAGGAGGTTACTTTTGAAAGGGCCCCAGAATTGGCTGCAAAGAAACAAAGTAGCAAAAGGGCACAGCTTTCAATTTTTTWTATATAAAACTGCATCATAGTTTCTTTGCTTTATTGGGGGGGGGTAGTTTATTGAATTGAAGGTCATGCCTTGAGGATTGGGGAAGGCAATTGCTTTTAGCTCAAACAAGCAAATTAAAGAAGAAAGATGAAAACAGATGCGGTGTTAAGGGTGGGAGGCACGGGCAGGACGTCTATAGGGAGGAGGCTGGTTGTGTGCACATGGGAGAACCCGGGCAGAGACACACAAGGCAGACCTGGAGAGTGTTCTCTGGCCCAGGCACAACCTTGGCCCAGCCCTTCCTGGGCAGAATTTTACCTCTGCTCCCAAACAGTGCCTGTCCCTACTTGTGCCACCTCTGGGTGGGCCATACCAGAGGGCTCACCCTCTGTCCCCTCACCAGTTGGCACAGGGGGATGGCTGCCCCTTAGCAGCTCTTGAAGTCCCTCTGAGCTTGCGGAAGCCCCAGCGGGACTTTGTGGGCCACACGTGCAGGCGCAGGTGGGTGCAGGGTCTGTCTCCTCCCAGCCCTCCCCCAAGCGCAGCTGCACCGAGGGCCCTGGCCGCCGGCCACGAGGAAATGAGGCTCCGCCTTCCACACCCATCTATCGTGGTCTGGCACCGAGCGCCTCCCCACCCCCGTCTCTGCTCTGGGTGGGCTGTGGACGGGGATGTGGAAGAGAAAGAATCAGAGGTGCTCTCCCGAGTGCTCCAGGCTCAGCTGAGTCCCGTCTGGGTTTCTTTGTGCCTGGTGGGGACCCCATCCCACGGGCGCCTGGACTCACGAGGCCCAGCAGGGAACATGTGACCCGCAAACGCGGGCGGGGACGGGACGAGCCGCGGGCCGCAGCTGGTCAGGACTCAGCGGCCRGCGCGGTGACTCAGCAGCAGGGGCGGAGCGGGGCGGGAAGCCCCTTATAAGGCTCGGCTGCCACTGGGCCTGCGCCGAGCTCCGCCGCCGTCGACCACGCACGCAGTGTCGGTCCGCTCTGCTGTCCGCGCAGCAACCAGTGAGTCCGTGTCCTCTAGTCTCCAAGGGCTCCCAGGATGCTGTTGGCGCCGGGCCCGGGCTACCCGGGGACTCGGAGCTCCCAGCACCGGGCAGCTCCCACCCAGTGCCCGGAGTGGGACTCAGGGGTCTCAGGGCGGCCCCAGCGCGGAGCTGGGAGCCCTCAGGGGGCCCAGAGCAGGGACTGGCCCAGGGGAGGGGGCGGGTGCACTCTCCGCCCAAGTCCCCACTGGAGCGGACGGAGTGCACCCGCTTCACAGGACACGCAGGGATCTAACTGTCTTCTCTGCCCGCTCTAGTGCCGCCCTACACCATTGTCTACTTCCCGGTTCGAGGTAGGAATCTGTGGCTGCAGGGATGGGAGGTACAGGGTGGTATCTGCAGCCCCTGGCCCCTYGCCCACCTGCAAGAGGCCCCACCCACCCTTGCCTCTCCCTGTGGCTGCAAGGCCTGGCCTCCTTTGCCATGCCCAGGTCTCTCCCCCGTGTTCTGTGAATCAATAGGAGTCTCCTTTCCAGTGACCTCTCCCCTAGCTCCTTCCTCTGGTTCCCCTGAGGCTGGGTCTCTGGGCTGTCCCTCAACCCACCCACCCCCGTCCTGACCCCCACCCAGGGCGATGCGAGGCCATGCGCATGCTGCTGGCTGACCAGGGCCAGAGCTGGAAGGAGGAGGTGGTGACTCCGGATGCCTGGCAGCAGGGCTCTCTCAAGGCCTCCTGTGTGAGTGACCACACCTCTGTGGGAGCATGAGCTGGGCCTTAGAGGGGCTGCAACTAGGCCAAGTGGCAGCCAGGCTTGGTGGCCCTCACGGAATCATGTCATCCCCCAGGTGTATGGGCAGCTGCCCAAGTTCCAGGATGGGGACCTCAACCTGTACCAGTCCAATGCCATCTTGCGTCACTTGGGCCGCTCCTTGGGTGAGTCCTGAGGACCATGTGTGCCCTCCCAGCGTCTTCTTCCAGTCTGGAGTGGATGCAGTTGAGACATGCAGAGGCTGTGTCCTTTGCCCAGGGGCCTGCCCAGGCCCACCTCCCTCCTTGCCCTGGGCCAGGCTGCCTCTCAGGAGCTCTGAGCACCTGCAGTGTGTTAGGCTCAACTGTGCCTCCATCTGTGTCCCCTTCCCCTCCCAAGCCGAGGCCCACCGAGAGCCACATGCCTGTGTTGATCAGGCGCCACTCATGCTGTCTGCTCCCCTGACCCCCCAGGGCTCTATGGGAAGGACCAGCGGGAGGCAGCCTTAGTGGACATGGTGAATGATGGCGTGGAGGATCTTCGCTGCAAATATATCACCCTCATCTACACCAACTACGTGAGCCTGGGCACTGGGAGTAAAGGAAGAAAGGGGCTTCTAGTGTCCTGACCCCCCAMCCTCATGTGGTTCTGGTTGATCCCTATGCCAGTCAGAGTGCCGAGGCTGGGTCAGGCTCAGTGCTGGGGCCCAGGGACCTTCATGGGCAACGCAGCCCTCACTCTCATTGCCCAGGGATGAGCCAGACAAGTAACAGTAGAGATGGCAGAGTGCAAGCCCAGGAGGCCTCTGGCAAGACATGGGTCCCCTGGCCTCTGCTGGGCCGGGGCTTCCTGGAGCAGCCTGAGGAGGAGGGTCTGTTGCCAGTTTCTGGAAGGAGATGCTGGCAGTTTTGATGGGCAAGGCATCTGGAGCATCAGGACCAGTTTAGCAGAGGCCGGGAGCATGCAGGCACTCACCAGTGTRTGTGCTGGAGCCTGAGGAGATAGAGGTGGGGGACAGCAGGCCAGGTCCTGAAGGCCTTGGGCTCTCCTGTGGGCAGTGGGACCACCAGTTCTAAGCAGGTTGTGTCTGCTTGGGAGATCTAGAAGAATCCTCCAGAGAAGCCAGCTGGGCAGCCTTTGCAGATCCCAGTGGGGAGAGGAAGGTGAACAGAGTGGAGAACTAGCTGAAGAGGAGGCACTTGGAGTAACCTGGGGAGCAGCCAGGCTCCCGTCTCTGGCCTGCCGACCGTGGGCAGCAGAGGGAGTGCATCTCGGGGGCAGCAGGGGCGTGGGTGCGGGTGTGGAGGATGATCGCAGCCCTGGCTTCCTCCTGCCAGGAGGCAGGCAAGGAGAACTACGTGAAGGCACTGCCCGGCCACCTGAAGCCTTTTGAGAACCTACTGTCCCAGAACCAGGGAGGCAAGGCCTTCATCATTGGGGACCAGGTGAGGATCTGGCCCTTCTGGGACACGGCCCCTTGTGAATGGAAACCGGCAGAACCATTCACACAGCCGAGTGGGGTAGTCCTGGGGGGGTGGGCTCCGCTCTCTGCCTCCATCCTCCCGGCCTGCTCTCACCAGCTGAGACCCACCTTCCCCGCAGATCTCCTTTGCCGACTACAACCTGCTGGACTTGCTGCTGATCCACCAGGTGCTGGCTCCCAGCTGCCTGGACGCCTTCCCCCTGCTCTCGGCCTACGTGGCGCGCCTGAGTGCCCGGCCCAAGCTCAAGGCTTTCCTGGCCTCCCCGGATCACGTCAACCGCACCATCAATGGCAATGGCAAGCAGTGAGGGCTGCCAGGCCCTCCCAGAGGCGGGCTGCTTGCTCCCTTTACTTGAGACCAATAAAATTTCCAAGACAGATGCTGCAGTGTGAGCGTTGTTTTTTGGGCAGAGGGCTCTGGGACCCTTGCTTGTCGGGCTGGGAAAGGTACAGACTGGGGAAACTTGCATCCAAGGGCCCAGAGTATCTTCCTGGAGCCTGCAACCCAGGCTGTTTACTGAAACAGGAAGCAAGAAAGACAGGAAATGAAAGTAAACAGGAGGCGAGTACTCACGGTCTAATGGGGGGAACGTTCATGGATGTGATTTCTAGTCCCGCAGGTGCATGCTAGAGAGAGCTGAAGGGACTCAACAGCTGTAGGTGTTGTCCGCCTCGGCTGGGCTGGGGGGGCCTCCCTCCTGTGGGGGGCTCGCCTCGCTTCCTGGGGACTTGGGACTTTGGTGCATCCTGGGTAACAAGCCACACTAGGGTCCCAGTCCAGCTTCTCCAGAGAAGTAGAGCAGTAAGCTGCTGTAGGGAGGCAGAATTTTTTCCTCTGACCTTTGGCTGGCACTGAGAATTACCCTGAGAGATCAACAGGAGGAAAGCGTCCGGGTTTAATTAGTAGAACTTGAACATGGCATGGGAACCCCAAAACACAGCTAGTGTTGAACACCTGTATACTGAGACAAAGAGCAGAAAATGTGATGGCCCAGTGGCTTGCACTAGGGCAGTTAATTGCGTAGTGTCCATGAAGATAGGGTTAGTTTAAAAAGGATGGTTTGTACAGATTTTCCTCGGCCTCCGTATTCTGTCCTTGATGAGAATGGCACTGTCCTCTGTTTCTGTTGCTATAACAGAACAGCTGAGACTAATTTATAAAGGAAAGAGGTTTGTTCGGGTTCATAATCCTGAAATTCCAAGAGCATGGCACCAGCATCGTGGCCAGCTTCCTGCAGAGTGGGAAGTGGTCCTGGAGTGACCCATCCCTGCAAGAAAAAAAAAAAAAAATCCATGATGGTTCCACCCCCATGACCCAATACCTCTTAAAGGCCCCTGTACCTCTGGATACCATTATGTTGGAGATTGTTTGAACAGGAGTTTTGACGGGGACCAACAGCATTCAAGCCATAGCARCATTATTCACAAGGGCATTTCATCCCTTGCTTTTAAGCAAAGGAAGGTCACAGAGTCACACACCTGCTGTATTTCAAGTCTAATTCCAAATACTCAGGATGCCAGAGGGGCATCTGTTGGGGTGGCACATCCGGAACTCCTTTTCCCACATCCTCCACTGTCCTAGGCTTACAAAGGTGGCCACAGAGAGGAGGATCAGGCTAGCGGCTGAGCAGTTGCAGGAGAAAAGAACAGGTGAGAATCAACACCAGAGTCAAAGGGACTGCGTTTCCACAACGGCTGACCGRCCTCCGTCCCCGGGACAGAGCCACTGACCAAACGTCGGGCTTCATTCATTTGATGGAGAGAGATTATCTTGCCCTCTAAAATGTGCAGATTAGACTCTTTGCCCAGAGCAATCCAAACAGGAGCAGCGTGGGGCTATATGAGAGCCCCTCAGGTCACTGGAGGTATGCTCTTGAAGGGGACTGTGGATCCTGTCCCCTTCCTCTTTCTCGTTGCTTCCTGTCTCGTGATGTAAATGCTTTTGATCTGCTCTGTATGCTTGTTTTGATGTGCTGTGTTGCCTTAGGCCCTAAGCAACAGGTCCTCCTGATCATGAACGGGACCTCTAAATCCATGAGCCAAAATATACCTCCTTTCTTTTTAAGTTAATTATGTCAGGTATTTGGTTATAGTGATGGGAAGCTGACTAACTCAGAGCCAATCTCTCAGGGAGGAGTTCACTCTGAGAGAGTGCTGAGCTCGTCAGAGGGCAGCGCTCCCTGTGACCGACTGAAATGCCTCCCATCGGGTGGATTTGGGGGAACACGTTCAGACTATAGCAGTTTGTAATAGGGCAGCAATTGTGTGCCCACTGGCAATAGGAGGACCACGGGATTCCCAGGTTGTGCCAACACCGTGGCAGACCAAAACACATCTGGAGCCGGCGTCAGTGGGGCAGTGTTTCCTTCTTCCAGTTCGATGGCTTTGTAGCTGGCGGATTATGCCTGCARTGTGTCATGGGGCAAAAGTATGGCCCAGCCAGTTGTTAGGTTTCCCTGGAACTTCCACCTTCAGGAGCCTTTACAACCCAGAAGGAAGTCAGGACAGGTATCCCAGAGGCCTCCGTGACAGGGGAGCAGGATGTTAAGTGTTATGGGGACCCAGGTGATGAGGCTGGGTAGTGGGGCTCGTCATAGGTGGCCTGTCATCGGGAAGAGCCGGGATGGGTCTTGTGAACCGGCAAGAGAGCTGACAGCCTGGGGACTTGCTTAAAAACATGGGGGGGGGGGGCTCTGGCCCTTTCTTCTCCTTTGTAATAAATTCCTAGAAGCCTCGTGTGAACTGTRAGAGGAACCTGGAAACTGCACCAACGAGAAGCGGCAGCCGACCCAACTAGGCTTCTCACTCAGCAATCCCATCGCTTTCTTTGCCTGGCTCCTGAGAATACCCATAAGTTCCCCCGGTGACCCTCCCAGAGGAGCGCCGGCCACTGTGACCTGGTGCTGACCCCAGTGAGGAATCACTGACTGCTCCAGCTCTTCAAAACCTAGAGGTGCCTGATTCACTGATCTGTCAGAAGTGAGTCCGGAAGAGCCACCCACCCACCCCACCACCAGGGCTCCAGGAGCCCTGAGCCTCAGCTTAGATCCCCAGCCCCCACCCTCACCCTCGCTCTCTCTGCACATTTGCAGGTTGTCAACGACAGCTTGAGTGACATTCTCCAGGTCTGAGCACCTGTGTGTGTGTGTGTGTGTGTGTGGTGTGTGTGATGTGGGTTGAACCCAGGGCCCTGTGCATGCGAGGCAAGCACTCTACCAACTGAGCTGTATCCCCAGCCCCTGAGCATTTTTGATCTGGACTGAAGTTATAGAAATTGGGCTGGGTCAGGCCTGGGGATCTGGATCAGTTGGTAAAGTGCTTTCCTCTCGTAGGCACAAGGCCCTGGGTTCTAATCCCCAGCACCACAAAAAAAGAAAAGAAAAGAAAGAAAGAAAGAAATTGGGCTTGTCCCGTGGTAGGAGCTGAGGGAGGAGTGGGTGCCTGATCAGGTTGGAGAGAAACTTAACTGGGCCTTGTGTAGCTACCTGGTGGGTGAGTTTCCAGAAAGACAGAAAATGATGGTTTTGTTTAAATCGAGGGAGTCCTAAGACTCTGTCTCAGAACCTATGCTTCTCTAGGAGAGAGGGTGAATCTTAGAAAAAGCAATTTAGAATTTTACTGGCCACAAGGGGTGGGTTTTAACTTAAAGTTGCTCGCTCATCTATGGGTTCCATGGAGGAGGGGAGGAGGGTCTTTCAAACCTCTCAGAGTCCACAGGGTGGTTCTGGCTTTTTGGCAGGCAGAGGCTTTAAGCTCTTTCTTTCTCTGTCCTAGGTGGGGGGTGGGCCCTTTAAGAGGTGGGGCTTAGTGGGAAGTCCAAACTGGCAGCTGGCCTCCTGGAGTGAGGACAGCAAGTCAAGCCCTCTCTTTTTTTTTTTTTTTAGCTTTCGGGGAACACAACATCTTTGTTTCAACATCTTTGTTTATGTGGTGTTGAGGATTGAACCTGGGCCACACGCATGCCAGGCGAGCACRCTTCTGCTCACTTGAGCCACATCCCCAGCCCAAGTCAAACCCTCTTGAAAGCCTCCACTCTCTGGCTTCCTGTTTTGAAAAGTGCTCCCTTCCTTTCTCACATGTTCCTGTCATCTGCCCTGGGACCCTCATCCCATCCTGCATCGTGCATTTGAACTTTGAACCTCAAACTGTGAGCTTTATTTTATAAGGTTAGCTTGCCTCAGGTATTTTGTGATAGCAAAACAAAGACAGAGGCCCTAAGAAATTTTCTGGCCATCTGTTCCCTCCCTGGGGATATTTCCCCCCAAGACCATCTGGCCAGTCGGATAACTGCAGGGTAATCCTGGGTGGAAGAACACCCCTTGCCAGTGAGTGCTTCTTGCTGGGGATGGAACCCAGGGCCTTGCACACTCCAGGCAAGTGTTCTGCCCATGAGCTGCATCGTCAGCACTATTTTTTTTTTACCTCAATRTAGAAGTCCTTCTGATTCAAAGGGTCCACTGAGGCCACTGCCGAGCGGGAGCTTCAAGGCTTTTATTCCAGGGGTGATGCTGCCCATCACAAGAAGCCTTTTCAAAGAAACACCAGGAGGGAACTTTCCAGGCTTAGGAAGAATCTGTAGCATGGCCACAAGAAGTTTCCCCAAAGCAGGTGCAGAGATCCAGCCTCCATGATCCCAGACTTTTTTTCTTTTTTTCTTTGCAAGAAAGCAAAGTCCTTGGTTGTCACAGGTGGTGAGAAAAGTGTTTGTGAAACAGTGGGATCCTGCGCGGAGGCACCAGGTGGGCCACATGGGACGGTGAGGGTGGAGATGAGGAAACCCTCCCTGGGGCCTCTTATCAGGACAWACTCCCAGAGAGTCAAACAAAGAAAGCGCCTTGTGTCCCTCAGACCTTTGTTCCCTGTGTGTTCTGCCGGCAGCCCCACACCAGCCAAGACTTGTGTCCCCCTGCCTGGCAGAGGCCAGACGGAAGATTCTCACTGTCACAAAGCCAAGATGTAAAATAAGACGGGTGAAGAGGTTGTCCGGATCGGTTTTCSCGGGAATGGCAGAAAGTCTGCACAGAGGCCTGCCTGGCAGGGGACGTGACCTGCCTGGCCACGAGGGGGTAACAGGCACAGGACCCACATCTGGGTTCCAGCTGTCCCCCTCCTCCTCACCCCCAGTGACGGGAAGGACAGAGACTGGAGAAGGCAGTGACCATCTCTGGGAGGAAAAGGGGCAACAGAAACAAGAACAGTCCTGACAGACTCTGGCGGGGGCTGTCCCCAAGACCTGGTTCACCCAGAGGTTGTCTCCTGAGTTTTGGAAGGGAAGGAGACCAGGGGAGACTCTTGCTGGGCTCCAGCTGGGCCTGGCGCAGAGGCCTGGGAGCAGGCCGGGCSGAGCACCCCCCCCTCCCGCTGGCTTCTGTCAGGAGTCT